AGGGGGCTGATTTCTCACTTTCTGTCTCTCTCTGTCTGTCTGGCGAGTACACACGCCCTATAGCAAAAACCTCTTCGAAAAAAAAATTAGTCTATCTTAGGTAGATTTCCTCAGGATAAAGTAAAACGTTCTCATAACTATCTCTCTGTGCTAGTAACAAGTGTGCGTCTCCACCCCCCCAGCATTATAAATAAGTCTAAATGTCTGAAAATTGCTTATGTTCTAACAAGGTCCTGGCACTAAATTAAATAGTTACACAAAACAATGCCTTCTTAAACCGAAATTGCTACTGTCGGTTAAATCTTAATGGGATGAAAACCAATGATACTTAGAGTTCTGCAAGTAGGTTATATGCATAGTATAGTTTTAGTTAGCTTAGCTGAGACACAGAGGAAAACAGGGAAGAAAAGAAAGTCAACAGGGTGCAGGAAGGGTCTGGGATTGTCTTGGCAGCACACACCAAGTTCTCGACCCTGGCAGAAGCCCTGAACTAGGCTGAGTGAAGACAGGAGGAAAGCCAGCTTCCACTTACGTTTTTCAGTTGAGGAGACAATATACAAACTAGGAAGTTGTTTAAGTATCACAATAAACACAGGTTAGTGTAATGCCTACATTCGTAGAATCTTTTTGTATCTCTCTTTTTAAAATAATGATTTAATTTTATTTGCTATTATTATTTATTTTTCATTTGACCAGACAGAAAAAGGGAAAGTGAGAAAGCAAGGAACGAGGTCCAGGTCCACAGCCCACCATGTGAGAGTCCAGCACCCTAACCACCATGCCAACTGCGAGCCCCATCTTTTTGTATCTCCAGAATTAGATTTAGGATTTGTCAAACACTGCATGGTGTGCAGGGGTTGCTTCTGCACCATCTATGGCAGATGGCTACGCAGCATCTCCTGAACAATGTCAGTCAAGAAGTGTTCTTCCTACTTTTCAGTCTAATCTCAGGCAGTCTCTAGCTTTCCCCAACCTTCCCCTTTCCTTGACGAGTACGAAGTGCTCGCAGCACATTCTGTGCATAGCTTTAGCACAGTACGATCACCTTTCTGGAGGCTGTCAGTAAGGTCCATATTTTTAAGTTAGTAACAGCAGAGGTCATGTTTTATTTCTGCACTTCGGAACACCTGAAACCTGTAAGTGCCATAATTGCTTCCTAAACGGATGCAAGAAATTAACTCTTCTCAATTTTCCTAGCCAATTTGACTCCACTCCAGTTCCTTGCAGCCCCTTCTCTAAAACATGCCAGCCAACCACACAGCTTTTCTTCTCCACGAACTAATAAGCAACACGCAGTCTCTCACAACTCCCCTCGCTTTGAGGAGGCGAGGAAAATTCCACCTTCGCTTTGCCACCTTATCCCTGAGGGTTCTGGAATAGATTACTGTGATAGGAGCAGTCTCTAGAAAGCAACTTCAACTTGCTCAATAAACCCGAGAATGATCCAGAAACCTGCAAGGGTGAAGGTGGTCAGCACTCTAGCCACGCCCACTGACACCTCCCCCCACACAGAAGGCTCACTCCACATTCGCAACCACTTTATTGTTTTATGATCGCCGCCCACCCTTCGCACATGCGCTTTACAATCCCAACCACTAGCATACTCATCCCGTTAATCTCCCGCGCAGGCGCCGATTCTGTCGTCTCAGTCCTAGTTACTAACTCCTCGTGCCCTCATTTGTCAAAGCTCACGACCTTGTGGTGGTCCCCGCGCCGGCACTAACCGATACTCGAACTCCTCGTCATCGTATTTGTCCGAATAGTAAATTTGTTTGTGCGACATGACGGCTCTGCTTACAGCTCTCCAGTCCGGCTCCGCCAACCTCCAAACAACTCCCAGCAGCACGCGCTCCCACCCCCTTTGGCCTCGCTTTCAAACACGCCGCCTGCACTTCCTATTGGTCCCTGTGCCTCAAGGCGGGACAGCTCTCCATATGAGCCTCCCATTGGCTTAGACTTGCTTCTCCTCGAGCTCTTATTGGAGTACAGTTCTTACATTTCTCAAGAACCAGCTTGGGTCAAAAATAGACCTCTTATTGGCTAGCACTGCTCCTATGCATGTTCTCGCGCAGCCATTGGCTGGATCGGGAAAGTGGGAAGGGTGAAGGAGAAACGGGGAGGTAGAGGGTCAGGGGTTAGTGAGGCCGGAAGTGAGTGTAATAAAGTTTCTCCAGGGAAGCTGGCCCGGGGAGAAAGTTGGAGCGGCAACCTAAGCAGGCAGTGGCGTGATCCCGAACCAAACAGGCCCGCGGCGCGGTGCGGAGACTCCATGAGGCCCTGGTGAGTCTTGACTTTTTTCCTCCTTAGACGACCGACTCCTCCACCCCGGAACCCCTCTCCCGGGACCCCACTTCCGGTCTTCGTTTATAAGTCCCGCCCCTTGAGACCCCCTTCCCCGGAAGTCCCACCTCCCAACTTCAGGGGGCTCCCTGAACCCCAACTTGTTTTTTATTGTCCCTGACCCCACCCTTTCGCCCAGCTTTCCTGGAAGTCCCACCCCCAGACATGCTTCCAAGCCCTACTACAAGAATCCCTTCGTTAGTCCTAGTTTTCCGAAACTCCGCCTCCTCGCAGCGATTCTCCGCTAACTCTTGTCGGTCAAAAAGACTATCTCTCCCAAAAGGGTAAAACCTTGCTTCTCAAAGAACGATTCGAATTCGCTGTAGCCACGCCTCACTGGGCGCCCCGCCCCCGGGAGGCCCGCCCTTTCCGTAATCCACGTCTGATTGTCTAGAAGCCTCGCCTGGGAGAAGTCTCCAGCGCGCGTCCTTGGGCACCACGCCCCCTTAGGAACTTAAGCCCTTTAGGGCTCGGGTCTTCACCTGAAAGTCCTGCCCTTCTGTCTTAGAAAATCCACCTGCTTACATTGGCCTGTCTTTTCTCCCTTTTGTGGCTTGGGTTCAGTTTTTGTGAGCAGTGTTCCATCAGGTGGAAAGTCTAAGTTCACATCTCTGGTTATGAAGAGGCTGCGATTAGAGGCAGCGGTTTTCTTCTTTCCCTCTTGCAAGGGTGGGCCTTTTTGACCGGGAGCAGGAGTTGGGTTCGGCATGAGAGTGGCAGAGATACTTGTTCATAGAGTCCCAGCCCCACTCCCTGAATTTCCTTTCCCAGGACCAACCCTTCTCCAGAAATACAGCAGCTGCTGGTCTACCTACTTTTAGCTTTGTTGGTGTGTGGCTTGTAGGTGTGACGGGAGAGAAAGGTTTTACCACCAGAAATGGTGGTTTAAAGTGGTGATAGGGAGTAGTGTCCTTTTTATTATTATTATTATTTTAAAGAATCGCCTCAGTTTCCACTTCTCTGGCTTGTCTCCTTCCCCTAAGCAGAGTGCTTGTCTGGGCATCCCTCCTGGCCCCACTGGCCTAGCCTTCCCCGGCTGGAAACATTCCTGAGGCTTTCGCCATTTCCTGCTCCTTCCCGCCTCTCTTGCCTCCTCCCTGCTGTGCTCAGGAGCCACAGGGCTTTCCCCCAACACCCAATCACCTGGTCTTCCTGTGGGCTATTGCCTTTCTCCCTATAGAAATGCAGAGAGTCAGCCTCCCTCTTTCTTTACTGGTGATTGCCCACACCTGTTGGTCATTCCTTGCCTCTGGATACTGCAGGTTCCTGAGGACTTCCTGGTTGGGATGTGGGGGTGGGGGAAACTGTTGGGCTGTTGCACAATCCTTTCCCTATTGTCTCTAGGCGGGAGAGCTGAGGCCTTAGGAAACGGAGTGTTAGAATTCCTTCCCTGGAGTAGTGGATGGAGGGACAAAGCTCCCCTGGGATGAGCACTAAGGGAGGGTGAAAGAATTAAGCACAGGGTCTAACACATGTAAGTGCTAGAATTGTTCATCACTATAATCATATAGATTCTTTTAACCCTCTCAAGTAAATTGTAAGGGTAATTCTGAGGTGAGCCTGGGGAATACGCATCTTTTACTTCTTGTTTTTTGGTCACTTTCTACCTCCCTCTATGGCTTCCTCTAGCAGAGCTGTGGCAGGAAGCTGTGGGTGGAAGGGTGGGTTTGGGACTGTTGCCTACATCCAGCCTCAGTTCATCTTTTCCTGGCCCCCCTTTCTCCTATACTTATTGACACCGATTTGTCTTCTGACTTCTCTATCCCTGTGTAGCCTGTAGTCCCTACTTCTCTTGGAGAGCTGTCAGCCCCCATCCCCTTCCCCAGCCAGACTCCTCCCCTGGTGTGAGTGGCACTGTTCTCCATGGCAGGACTTGGAGCAGGAACCCTAGGAGGGTATGAGTATACCTGGCAGGCCCAGGGAGTTGGCCTTAGAATTAATGCCACCCTTGGCAGCTCGCTTTGCTAACTAGGCCTGTGGGAGGGGGGCTGAGAGTGCTTGGCTACAGGCCATTGCTCCTTGGTGTGGTAGGTGCCATGCCCAGAGCTTGGTCCACCCGTTCTCTGCCTCCAGCTCTTGCCCGATGCACCACCCAGGTTGGACTTTGCTCCCTTTACTGGGCCAGCATGTCCTTCCTCTCTGGCCCCCCTTGGCATCCACTGGGACCACTTCCTCCCCTTCCCTGATTTGTCGGTTGCAGTCCACAGCTGGTGTACAGAGGATGCTAATGGGCCAGACTCCCTGGGGCCGCCACCCCACTGCATGTGGTAGTGGTGTGGGGTGGCCGGCTGGAGGGTGGGGGAGTGTGAGTGTTCAACCAGGACAGGAAGGGAAATGCTGAGCTCTGGGATCCCTCCCTTTCCACCCGCTGCCTCTGTTTCCTCCCTTATTCCCCCTACCCTCCCCTGGCTTCCTGTGCCCTTTGGCTTGCCCATGTCCGGTTTAGATTGAGGCAGAGCTCCTCTTATCTCCCTCTTCCCACTAGTCCACTTCTCCCTCCCACCCTACTCCGCTGCTCCCCAGATTACTAGTTGTTTGTGTAGGACTGGGGAGAGGGGCCTGGTAGTCCTACCCCTGCTAGAGTCCTAGGTTGGGGCCAGGGCTCAGCCCCTCTGAGCCTGTGAGTCAGCACTGTCCTCGGGATTGGTCTCTCCCTTCAGCTCCCCGCCCCTGGGGAGGAGCCAGGCAGCTCTAGGTCCAGCCCGTTCTCTTCTCAGCCAGAGAAGAGGCTCCACGCTGGGCGGGGATGGGGCCTGAAACTGTCTGGGTTTAAGCTGGGGGAGCAGAAGCCACTTGTCCCCGTCCCTCCCCAGGACCCCTGTGACTGCTGGGCTACAGACGTCTGACCAGGCTAAGGGACTGGGGATGCCCCCTGCCTGGCCCCCTTGCCCAAACAGGCAGGGGGGCCGGGCCGGGCAGCAGCCCCCCTCTGAGCACAGCCATGGATCTCCTGCCCCCCAAGCCCAAGTACAACCCACTTCGGAATGAGTCTCTGTCATCGCTGGAGGAGGGGACTTCGGGGTCTAGCCCCCCGGAAGAGCTGCCTTCCCCATCAGCCTCGTCCCTGGGGCCCATCCTGCCTCCTGTGCCTGGGGATGACAGTCCCACTACCCTGTGCTCCTTCTTCCCCCGGATGAGCAACCTGAAGCTGGCCAGCCCGGCTGGGGGGCGCCCCGGGCCTAAGGGGGAGCCAGGAAAGGCAGCCGAGGATGGGGAGGGGATTGTAGGGGCAGCAATGCCGGACTCACGGCCCCCGCCCCTCCTACAGGAACA